AAAATATCTGTTGTTCTAATAATATCATTTAATGAATTAGCTCTCCAAATAAATATTCGATTATTAGATATAGCTTTAATACTCCTTTACTAAATTAATGTAAATTAAATTAATAAAAGATGAGAGGGGTATTATAAATATCCATAGTCTTAAATGTAACTTATTTTATGCTTACCTATAAATGATTCTTAAATAAAATAAAAGGTATTACGTAACAAAAGAATCAAACTTAGATAAGAGATATTACGAGATAATAAATTCTTAAAATATATGTATATTAATAAAATTTCTATATGCTTACTCACGAAGTTAGCAAAAATATCTTGTATTAGTCCAATATAGATTATTAGAAAGCAGTAGTTGAAGTTTTTTATAACAAACAGCTTAATAGGGACTTCAGGGCATAACATATAACACGTTTGAAATCTAGTAATAAAGAATTAGTGATAATCACATTCAATAATCACATCAATGTAACAGTATAAACAACAGTCAGCAAATCAGCAAGAAAACAGATACCGGGCAGATTAAGCATATGGAGCAAAAGTCAAATCACAGACGGACCCTCATAATTAGATTACTGACAGATCCTCAATTAGATCATTATATAAACATAGATTCTAATTAGTGCATCAGCAACGATCTTTCATAGTCTTACTGAGATAGCTTGTAAATATAGTGTCAATTTTCGATCAATTGGAAAAGATGCATTAAACGACATTGAGTTTTATACTAAAAAAGGAAATCTTTCTATTTCTGTATAATGCCAGTTATTAAAATCCAAGTACTCGGATATGATCATTTTAGACATGGATCTTGCAAATACAATTCGATGTTTTAAACCCAAATCTCAAGATCTTGAAGCAGATGCTTCACATCTTCTTTCATTTCTTACCAAAAAACAATCTGAAGAATCGGGCTAGGCAGTAGAATTTGAATTATATAATGAAAACCGTCTTACACGACTTTTCTGGATAACCCCTAAACAAATATTACTGTGGCTTGAATATCATGATGTTATTCTTAATAATAATACCGCCAAGACAAATATGTATAGTGATATGAATAGAAAATCAATTAATTATTTAGTTGGCAACTAATCGGTTAATAATTTTGACCAACTATTAATCGATTTTAATCAATTAACTATTAATCGATTAATTGATTAGTTGCTTTTATATTAATTAGCTTTTTATCAAATTAGATCAACTAAGCAACTAATTAGTTAATCGATTAATCAACTAATTGATTAGTCGATTAGTTGATTTTTTAAAAATTTTTAACTAACTAATTATTATATTTTTTTCTCTGATAACATTAAATAGGTACCAAATACCTCTTAGTTTATTTCTAATTGTCAACAACAACATCAGGTCTTGGTTAGCAACCCAAGCACTAATATCAGATAAATGTGTCAAATCATATCAGTAGATTCTCCAATGTACAAAAAAAGTTACAGAGGTTAAACTATTAGTTATCATCACTGATGCTGATCCAGCAATGGATAGTACCCTTAAGCAAACCTATAAAACAACAAAGTTATTATATTGTATTTATCACATCAGCCAGAATTTTCTGAAAAATCTTAAAGCAAAATTAGGTGTTGCATATGGTCAGTTTATTAATAACTTTTATCGCTGCTGTAATACTTTAGATGATACGTTATTTGAATCAAGGTGGCAAAGTTTATTGCTTAAGTTTTCATCCACAGTGAGCTATTTGAATAAAGTTCTCTATCCCAGCCATCACGCATGGGCATGTGTGTTTACTTCTAAAGTTTTCATTGCCAGGATTCAAACCACATCTCACATAGAGGGGTACAATAGTATTATTAAATGAGTATTAAATAGCAGCAGCAGTTTGTACAACTTGGTCAAAGCTTTGAATAAAAAACTGGAAAAAGAGGCTAAATAGAACTGTTTTTTTGAATATCAGACACTGTCTTCTTGCATCGAAATCGCCTCTGTGGGAAGTAAGGTATTTCTTACAATTAATCATATAATATCAGAATATTTGACATCTTATATTCTTTCTGCCAAACATGTTGAAATAGCACAATGTTTGTATTTCGATGCAACACTAATGAATTTGGAAGGAATCAATTCATATAATGAGGTTTGAATTTTTATAAGGATAGCAATGTAATGTGAGTGCTGCCAAGGAAAAATGAAACATTGGTTTATTATTGATTATTTATTTAAATAATCAATAATAATCAATGTCTCAATTTCTTTTAGCAGCATATATATAATTATATAATACTGTAGCACTTTGAGTACATTTTCCTAATGGTCTTCTTTATCTAATATCGAGTTTAAAACATCTAATTTTATTACAGGATGAAAGTATTGGTAATCATTTCATAGAGGATGTGTATAACGCAAGACAAATTTTAGTCAAGTCAATAATTGCAAAAGTCGACCAAGAACAAGGAATATGAAAAATTATAAACAAATAGCCAGGAAACAATAAGCGAAAGCATTTTATTATTGTTATTAATCCTATTTCTTATTTATGCATATACATGTGCAATATTTTTCATGGTATCATATGCTGTTATTATTTTTAAGTGCTTTTAGTTTCACAGGTTGCCGAGTTTCATATTAAAATAATAGCTTCACGTTGGTGTTATAATTTCAAAAGAGAAGCAAGTGAACAGTTAAATGTTATTTTTGCAAATGAGAATGCTATCCGAGTTCAGCAAAATCAAATAATACCAACAATTCCCCAGCCACTCTCAGTGTCTTGTTTAGTAACAGCAAACAATTGGTGTGTAGCAGCCCAAAAGACTAAATTTGGCAAATTATGGGGACTTGCATGACAAACAGCACAACTTGCAGTCAAATGCAATAATAATGAAATGGTTCAATAGCTGAAGACATTTATTGATCAAAAAAAACATTTTCTAGCAAACAACAAAGAGGATGATAAGTTAACTAATGAGCCTAATGATAGTGAAGAAGAAGACAATTCAATGATTATTAATCTACTAGTTACCAAACGGAAGAGCAGATGTGAAACTAAATGATACAAATCTGCTCTGGAAAAAACACGTCGTCAACCATACTCTTGTCGCACTTGTGGTCAAATTAGGCATAACAGTGCACAATATGAAAAAAAATAGTATATAGTTAATTTGGTATGCTGTAATCAGAGATCAGATTTATAATTGTGTCTTATTCAGAAATTATTCTGATAGGTGGTTAATAATACTTTGGTATTAATCATAGATAATACTATTTTATAGAAATATAACAGTGTTAAATAGTAAACTTTTATTGAGATATTTGTATAGAAAATTTAACTAGAAGCAATAGTATACCTAGTAAAATTATTGAAAGAAAATATTGCTTATATTTGTAAATTTAGTTGCAAAAAATTTATTATTGAATATCTAATAATTCAACATTGCAATTTTAAGTAATTTTATTGATCCATATGTCACTATACGAAACTTCATAAAGGAAAGTAATTTATTTACATGCTTTAAAGTACTTTTTGAAAGCGTAATGGTTTACTAATAAAAATTTTTTTTTGTCCCATATATACTGTACAAGATAATAATCATATAAGACTTTATGAAAGAAAGTAACTTATTTATGAACTTTAAAGTACTTTTTGGGAATGTAATATTTCACTAATAATACTTTTTTTTTTATCTTCAGAAGAACAAATATTCACTACAAAATAATTGAGAACCTTAAGAACTACTATTGCCGCAATTAGTTATATGAGTGGAACTAAAAAAATAGAAGGACGATTATTAATTTGTTAATATAATAGCCTTATTATTTTATATATGGCACATTAATTTAGTGTTTCTATTAAATATATAAATAGATTAAATAGCACCTAAATTGATTATACTATTTAGTTAGCTGGCTGAAATTAATTTTCATGTGCTAAACTTATTGCTAAAATTTTAGACCTTTTGTAATGTTTTCTGGTAATTTTTTTTTTATTCCAATTTTGTAAAGATAACAAAAACCAATATTATTCATCACATTCAAATTTTCTAAATTAGATGCTTTCAAATAGTATTCAAAAGCCTTCTTTTTATCTTCCTTATCAAACTCTGTCAAAATGCATTAGATAGCATAGTTATTTAGATGAGTTTTATATAAAGTAATTGATCAAAATTTTTTTTGGTTTTTATATAAACGATCAATTATGTTTGTTTAAGAATTAATGTATTTGATTTTTCTCACAACTGAACGTATTGAAAAAAATTTAGTGAATATTAAAATTGAGTAATTAGTTTTTGTATAATCAATTATATCTAGTTTCATATAAATTGCCAATGTTATTTTATTAATAATATAAATTAAAAGTTAATAATTTCTTATTTAATGATTTGTATAAATTAACCAATCATATATAAATATTTTTATAACATGTAACCTGTAACAAAATCTCATGTAACTGGGGTGTAACAAATGCATTTTTTTAATAAAATATATAGTAATATAAGATTTGTATTATACTATTTTTACACTACTTTAAAATTTACTTTGTTTTTTTTTTTTTTTTAATTTTGGCAGTCTTGCCTCTACTTTATTAGGTTTAATAATATTATATTTTGAAATATTAAATTTTTTAAAGAGCTATTTTCTTTGACACCTAAGTTATAAGTATTGACCCATCCAGTTGTTTAATGAATATCTTTGTACAATCTGCTATAGTAAGATATAGAGTAGAGTTAATAGAAAAGAGACAAATTTTTTCTAAGTAAAAGTTTTCTTGACTTTAAGCTTAAATATCTTAGCAATTATCTTATTAAATTTAATAATTGTAATTATTTTTACTAATTATTTTTGTTACTCTAACTGAGTTAAGATAATAATATAATTGTTTAAATAAATACAACTCGATACACAGCAACGAGTCATTTATTTGATGGCACAGCAGCCTATAGCTGTTTGCTGTTTCAATAAAAATATTCGAAAAATTGGTACAATATTCAAATCATTAAAATATAATTAATTAAAAAAATAAAAAATACTTTTGATACAATAAAAAAAACTATAAATAAAACTGTTCTATTCCAACAATTGAAATATTCCAAAAACTAAAATATTCTAACAATTGGAATATTCTATTTTATTAAACCAAATTTAAATTAAAAATGAGTTTAAATCTTTATAAAATCGAAAATAATAGTTCTATTTCTTGTTTACAAGAAAATTGCTCTTATTAATTTCGTTCTCCAAAATACAAACAAAAAGCTATTATGCAACATTATAAAAAATATTATTAGATTAAATGATCTTCTTGAAGAATTTACATTTTCATTTATTGGTAAAAATAAATCATTTAAAATAGAGAAAAAACATGATTATTTTCTTTTTAATAATAACATTAAAGAAATGAAAATTTATTTTAATAATATTATTATTTTTGAATCAAAATTTATTAATATGTTTAATTAAATATAGGATTTTTAGAAAAAGAAAATTTGTTGTATTTTAAATATAATTAAATAAAATTTTAAAACTGACTTAGAAAAAAAATTATTTAAACAATATTATACATTAAATTATTAATTTTTTTAAAAAAAAATGAATAAAGATGATTTGCAACAACGTGTTCTTGCATTAAATAAAGATAAAGGAGATCTTTTAAGAATAAATCGAACGTTAAAAGAACAAGAAAATGATTTGCAACAACATATACTAGCATTGAATAAAGACAAAGAAGATCTTTTAAAAATAAATCGAGAATTGAAAGAATGAGAAAATAAAGATATTGTTTTCTTTCAAAATATACTAGAACAGTTAAATAATATTCATAAAATTAACAAGAAAATATACAAAAATATAAAAATATTTTGGTTAATTATATTTTTATTCATATTAATAGTCATATGGTTTATAAACAATCAAAAATATTCAAATAATAACCAATATATTTTTATTCAAATTTAAAAATCTATATAAATACCATTTTACAAAATTATATATGTTAAAAATGAAAAAATTTTGTTTTTTTTATTTCTATTAATTGTTATTGTAAATTGTGTACGAACTAAAAATCCAAGAACACCATTACAACCACAAATCATTATTGAAGAATGAACATTAGATTAATTATTATACACATGGAACTTTAAAAAAGATTGATATAAATGAATTTTAAATAAAAATGGTAAAATGTATAAAAGTTACCCAGGTGGAATCTACATACAAAAATTTAATTCAAACGGTAAAGCAAGTTATAATCTAGTTTATAAACCGAAAGGCGCAAATGTTAAAAGTCCACAAAAATAAAACTATTATTATTTATTCTTTATTTCATTATGATGATTAGAATCATTTACGGGCATTAAATTTTGAATTGTTTGGAAAAAATTTCTACTGAGAATGAAAATATCAATAATGAATTAGAAAATATTGGAACTTTTAATTATGAAAAAATGAAACTATTGGTTAATGAATGTAATCAAATTATTGATAGATATTTGTTAAAAGAATGAATTTTTTTGTACAAAATGAATTCATCTTTATTTAAAAATTATTCATTACATGTAAAAGCAATTATTAAAGAAATGCAATCAAGAAACAAAAAAATTATAAAAATAGCTAAACGAATCAATATTGAGTTGTAATTTATTATATTAAATAAACATACTTTAAATTAAATAAAAAAAATGAAAACAAAAGAAAAAATTACAAAAATTGTTAAAAAAGCTAAAACAAAAAAAGAAATAATAATTAAAATTCATAAAGAAGATCCTTTTTTTTTTATAAAATATTTTTCAAATATTGATAAAGCTTCAAGTTACATGTTTTCTGACGATGAATCTGAAACTGAATCTGGAACAAATACATTGACTAGTTCTGAATCCGAATCTAAAACAGAAGATAAAAAAATTATTAAAAAAAAATCTTCAACCTATAACCTGTTTATAAAAAAAGAAATGGAGAGATTAAAAAATGAAGGAATTTTAGAAAAAAATCGATTTAAAATAGCTACGCAGAGATAGAATTCAAGCTCTGAGAATTCTAAAAATAAATATAAATAGACTAGTTTTTCTTAAAATAATAAAATTCGAAAAATATGAAAATAACATGAATGCCACAAATGATAAAATGGAAGAATATTTTAATAAAATAATGAAAGAACTGAAAGAACCACTTGATACCTACATAATTCAATAAATATAAATAGAACAAACATCTAGCAAAAAAATAAAAAATAAATAAAAAATAAAAAAAAAAAAAAAATAAAAAAAAAAAAAAAAAAAAAAAAAAAAAAAAAAAAAAAAAAAAAAAAAAAAAAAAAAAA